GATGTCGATCCCATGCCCGAGTGCACCACTACCTTTATTTCCTCTGGTACCTCCGTTGGTGTTGTTCTGCACGGCCACGCAGCACCCCCTGTCGGCACGCCATCGGCACTCGCACGGACTGTCCTCGTGTGGCATTGGTGGCGGTGCAGCCGTCGAGATAGCAGCTGCCACTCCGGTGCGGGCAAGGTTCTTTCACCAATATCAGGCGCCCGGCAGGCCACTCCCTCTACACCTGCTGCTGCTGCTGCTCCAGGCGCTGCTGCAGCCCGGCAGGCCGCTCCATCTACGCCTGCTGCTGCTGCAGCTCCAGGCGCTGCTGCAGCCCCCGGCACCCCAGGTCCCTCCGTTCCTGCAGCAGCCCCCGTCAGGCCTCGACCACTGCTTTGGTGTATTCACGGCGCTTGAGCAGTCGCTCCTCCTCCTCCGCAACGGCTGCTGCCAGCCAGCCCGGGCTCTGCCTAAAGGCGCCAGGTGTCATGCAGCCCACCGTCAACAATCACAGCATGACAACACACGCCAAAGCTGGTCACCAGTTTCCTAGTGTCTACAACAGCACAACACTGTCACCGGTGCCCCGCAACTTCCGTAGTGCCCTTACTGATCCCAATTGGAGGGCTGCCATGGAAGAAGAGTTCTCTGCTCTCCTTCAGAACAACACATGGGAGCTTGTTCCTCGACCGTCTCAAGGCAACATTGTCACTGGTAAATGGATTTTCAAGCACAAATTCAGGGCTGACGGGTCCCTAGAGCGCTACAAGGCTCGTTGGGTCCTTCGAGGCTTTACTCAGCGCCCGGGGATCGACTTTGACGAGACATTCAGTCCTGTTGTCAAGCCCGCCACAATTCGGACAGTGCTCTCTCTCGCCCTCTCCCGTGAATGGCCAGTTCACCAGCTCGATGTAAAGAATGCCTTTCTACACGGGACCCGTCTCAAAGCTTTTTTTTTCTTTGCCTGACACGCTAGTTTTGAGGATCCCACTCATCCCGGATATGTCTGTCGACTCAACAAGTCTCTCTATGGTCTCAAGCAAGCTCCTCGGGCATGGTACAGTCGCTTTGCTACATTTATTCTCTCACTTGGATTTGTGAATGCCAAGACAGACACCTCCCTATTTATCTTCCATCATGGTGCCGACACAGCATACTTACTTTTGCTTTGTCACGTAGGAGATGACATCATCCTCTTTGCCTCCTCCACGGTGTCCTCCCGCATCGCATCATATCTGCCCTACAGCGTGAGTTCAACATGAAGGACCTTGGCAAGTTACACCATTTTCTTGGAATGCAAGTTCAGCACCGGGATGGATGTCTGCTTTTGTCTCAGCAACAATACATGATGGAGATTCTTGACCGGGCTGGTATGACTGAATGCAAACCCTGCTCTACTCCAGTTGACACCAATCCAAAGCTATCTGCAGTAAGTGGTGACCCAGTTCAGGATCCCTCTGATTTTCGCAGCCTAGCTGGTGCTCTTCAGTACCTTACTTTCACTCGTCCGGACATTGCTTATGTTGTTCAGCAAGTGTCTCCACATGCATGATCCACGGGAACCTCACTTGGCTGCCCTCAAGCGGATCCTTCGGTATGTTCGCGGGACTCTACATTTGGGGTTGGTGCTCCGCCCCTCATCCCAACATGAGCTGGTCGCCTACTCGACGATCTTGTTGGGCATTTGCCCGGATACTCATAAGTCCACTTACGGATATGCGGTCTTCCTTGGTGATAACCTCATTTCTGGTCCTCCAAATGCCAAAACACCGTGTCCCAATCCAGTCTTGAAGGTTGAATATCGCGTTGTTGCCAACAACATTGCAGAAGCTTTCTGGCTGCGCCAACTTCTCGGTAATTACACTGGTCCCCCTTGCAGCGTGCTACATTGGTCTACTGTGACAACATCAGCGCCGTCTACATGTCCGCCAACCCAGTCCTGCATCAGCGGACTAAACACATCGAGATTGATCTCCATTTTGTTCGGGAACATGTTGCTCTTGGTGCTGTTCGAGTTCTTCATGTTCCAACCACCACCTCAATATGCCGACATCTTCACCAAAGGATTGCCATCTTCGCTCTTCACAGAGTTTAGAACCGGTCTGAACGTCCATTGCACCGATGCTCTGCTCGATTGGGGATGTTAGCAAGTTATGTTTGCCTCCTAGTCTATTGTGCTGCGCCTTGGACTCGGATACGACCATGCGCCTTGAGCTAGGCACTTGTGCTATTTAGTATGAGTTAATTAGGTTCCTAGATTGTGTTCACACCTTGAACCCTTGAGTTCTCCTGCCTATATATTGTAATCCCTTGTAATCTGTGATCTATCAATATATACTATTCAGAGTTTATCTCTCTCACATTTTGGATTAAACACATATGTCTAATCCCTCTATTTTACCCTGAAAACTCCAAACTCTAAATCCTGCATGGATATCAGAGCAGGACTTGTGTCAAACAGGGCCACAGAATAACCACGTAAGCTGTTAAACACAACAACACATGTTGAACATGCATATATGTGAAGGATGATTGCGACCAATTCCTACACTAACAAAACCAGAACTTCATGGACAATTCAGACATTGAACCAGAACCCAATAAAGCCAATGTGCACAACAAAAACAAAATGGCATCAAACAAACTACAGTAGAACAGTACATCATCCAAACATGGTATTCTAAATCTTACTGTCTAGTGCAAAGAATTCGGCAGATTAAACTCAAAGAACAAAGATGGCATAGATCAAAATCCAATCATCTTAACCCAAATATCAAGGGACAACACCTACCAAAACTTGTGGGGTCATCAAGGGACACCACAGTGTGTAATAAGAACCATTCCTACTATGCCACCCAATAAAATTCAAGTTTTCTGCCATATGTTTAAGGTACAATGCCCCATTTGTGGAAAAATTGTGAGAAGTATTGTCGGTGTTTTCGGACAACCGACGAGTAAATTTGTATTTGCGCGTCTGGCTCGGATGGTGTGCTCGGAGGACACAAGGGTTTATACTGGTTCGGACGGAACGTCCCTACGTCCAGTTCGCTGCTGCTCGTGTTATCGGCACTTGGTTTGCAGTAGGGGTTACAAACAGGCGAGAGAGGGAGAGGATCCCAAGTCTCCGGTGGAAGGAGTGAACAGGTGCTGAGAGCTTGCTTGCCGCTCAGCCGTGTGCTCGTGTCGTGCTCTTGTGTCAAGATAACCCTTTCACGGGCGCCCTGCTTCCCCTTTTATAGGCGAAGGGAAAGCGCGGGTTACAGAAGAGGAAAATGAGAAGAACGAGAGAGAAGAAGGTTTCCAGGGTTGCCGGGTCCTTCTTCTCCTTCATGCGGGTCCCGCCGCTCCTATAGATGTTAACAGGGACGGCTCCATGTCGCGGCCCTGTTCGTCACTGGCGCCATGCGCAGGCGTCATCTGCCGGTCATGGCGTTCCACTCCGTCCCGGCGGACGTCGTGGTGAACTGACGCGCCTGTCAGCGTCCATACGAGGATTAGGCAGAACAACACCGGCACGCCCGACACTGTTCTTGATGTGAATCCCCAGATATGGCCCGTCATGGCCACGGGTTACATCGAGGCGTGTCAGCCTCTTCCCTAGCGTCAGAGTTTTGACACAGGCCCATACGCTTAGACCTGGAGTGGTTGGCGGCGGTATGGGTCCCTGTCGGACAAGACGGAACCCACGTCCCTGAGGTCGGGCGAGACGGAGCCCGCGACCTTGGGCGGACGGAACCCGCGTCCTTGGGGTCGGGCGAGACGGAGCCCGCGGCTTTGGGCGAGACGGAACCCGCGTCCTTGGGGTCGGATGAGACGGAGCCCGCACCCAAGGGGTCGGGCGAGACGGAGCCCGCGGCCTCGAGGTCGGGCGAGACGGAGCCCGCGACCTTGGGGTCGGGCGAGACCTTTTAATACGTCTCGAGCCATCCGGGGAAGTCAGCGTGGGCGCTAACTTCCTTGCTTTGGGTATCCCTAATATCAATACCCGACAAGTACATGATGCACTATTCTAAAAAACTGGAACTTAAAGAACATCACAGATGCAGTACAACATTACGTTGTGTAGTCATGCAAAATTTATGGTATTCTTTTTGGATCAACAGTGTGGCACCCACAAAGCACCAAGTGTGCACCCCAAATAAAAAAAATGGGATACAAATTTAGTGAAGACGGAACCCAGCAAGAACAAATAATCTATTAGTGATTTTGTGTACATATGAGATAATATGGTCCTACGGTTCACATCTAAGATGCATATTTCAATCAAGTTTATAGAGTAATATAATTTTGAAATAAATATAGAGTAATATAATTAAGCATCCAGTAAAACAAACAAACATTTAATAAAGAGAAATGAAACAATTTTTTTGACCTTAATTCACAGTGTGTAAGATATAAAGAGGTCTAGGCAACTATAAATTAATATAATATTTTGCTCTAGGCAACTACAAGGTACAGATGCTTACAAACATCACCGTTGAATGGATCACTGTATCTAAATATTTTTTTTAAAAAAGTTAATCCTTGAAGTTATTGGGTATAGATAGTGAAACCCAACATGAAAATTATGTATGAGCGCCACAAGTAAAAATCAAACTTAGCCACGCTACAGTATCTCCAGAGCCCATATAGAAACAATCAAACTTCACAAATGACCACAAAAGAGCTATAGCAACAAATATTTAATTGAAGCATTAACCCATAGATCGCCACTGTCAAGTATTAAGTCTTAACCTAAGAACCATGTAGAACTATCAGTAATTCAAGGAGAAAATAAATTTCCCTCGTATTTCAGGATTGCAATACCCAAAGTAAGTTGCAATTGTTGCTTAACAGTTTAACCAATTTCAATTGCTTGTGGAGACCACCGTGAATGTACAAGCATTACCTTCGATTACTTCATACACGGGCAAAGAATCTACATGATACTCCTTTCCATATATCCAAACCATTCGAATCCAGAAGATGACGACGGAAAGAAAGTGAAATCGATTGGAGTGCCATCTGCTCACCTGCTTCTTCTCCAGGAACATGCCGGAGCTGGTACGCACCTCACTCTGGACGCTCTTACCGGACTCGTTGTCTGCTACCATAGACTTCTCCAGCTTGTCCTTGGCCTTTCAACCAATCAAACACCGAATCAATCAACCAACGAACGAACGAACCAAACCAGACATCACAAGCTAATCCGCCCAGCCTCCGGCACTCACCAGCACGATGAGGTGGTCGCACTCCGCATCCGACAGGAAACCCTTGTGCAGGAACGCCCTGATAGCCACACGAAATCACACAGCCGTCAGACTCCAGCACGACCTAGGGTTTTGGGGAAGGAAAGAGCGGAGTGTACGAGGGAGATCAGATCGTCACCTGGGGCGCCACGAGAGTTGGACCACGCGGGAGGGGTCGAAGGAACCAGCGCCCCGGCTCGCCGCAGAGGCGCAGCCAGCGAGGAGGAGCGCGTGCACCGCGGCGAGAAGGAGGTGGCGGCAGAAATCCATGGCGCGGCGAGATGGGAAGGCGACTAGCGGTGTGGCACTTGAACTGGGGAAGAAGAAGCGGTGTGCGTGGAGTTAACCGTCCAGGCGCCGAGACGATGTCAAAATGCCACTGACAGGGGGGCCGGCAATACGTGGACCCCGAGCGAAGAATAGAGGGGGTGACCGGGTGAGGGAAGAATGCCAGAGTCGCTCTGGAAGTTTCCCAAAACGACGCGGCTGGCGTGTCGCTAGCTGCAGTGGGCCGGTGACGTCTTTCGGGCTTAAGTTTTCTATATAAGAGAATTTATATTTCCATCCATTTATTTTTAGAACTTTTTATATTGTTATTATCGTTGTATTGACAAACCTTATTTCCTTAATTGTCATTGGTATAGAAAATTTGTTTCCTTAGATGCCGTTGAGAGAATAAAACACCGTTACAAGGTGCTTGTTACATAGGACTAACTCCATTTTTACATTCTGAGTTTGATAGTATGCTTAGGCAATTTATTTAATCTGGTTAATTGAATTTAAGTTTAATTCACGAGCAAAGCTACGAATTTCATGTTCAAACAATAATGTTCACAAAGGTCATGAAGAGCCTGCATCGAGGAAGACTTTTTTTAGGAAGTACTTAGAGATGGATCATGCTTAATAATTAATATGGAAGAATGCGTTATTTATTCGGACTTCGAACAGCTGAGGATGCCAAATTTTCTTTTTTAATATATCTTAGAGATAAAAATAAAAAATATCTACGTAGAGATAGTACCAAATTAAACTAAAATTAAATTAATTCGGTAAAATAAATTATCTAAGCATACTACCATGCTCAAACTATAAAGAGTGATCAAATTTGATTATCAACTATGCTCGTGGGAATTAGTCTTGTGTAATGAATATCTTATAACGGCGTTTTGTTCTCTTAATGGTATTTAAGAGAATAAATTATCTATATGGATGGCAATCAAAATAATAAGGTTTGTCCATAGAACGGTAATGGCAAGGAGGGGATAAAAAATTCTAAATGGATGATAGCAAGGAAAATCTATAATTTTAGATGGTAATAAAGGAGTTGTTATACGTTTGAGTGACAGCGAACTGAGGCTAACTCAGTTGGTTAGGTTTCTTGTGGTGGAACCTGCCCACTCAGGTTCAAGTTCTCGATTTGGCATGGGTGCCCGTATTTTCCTAGATTTATTCCAGAATTTAACGGTGTTGTGCTCTTAGTAAATGCGTCTGTGGTGACTTCGTCAATTTCAAGATATGACGGCACAGTCTATAGGGGCCGCTTGTGTAATTCGCAAACCTATAGAGGTAGGTTTTGCGTACGTGGTGCTAGAACTTGCCATAATGTATCATTTAAGTCCAAATAGACGTCATATATTTAGTGTCACGGCTACAATTATTTATTGGATCCAAACCTCATTCTTGTTGATTGAGGAAGAAGCTTAATGGCCAAGCAATTGTTAACCTACCTTCTCCACCTAAAGAGCACTAGCTTTGACCACTATTGATGATGTTGTAGTTTTTGAAGTGGAGGAAGACGAACGCCCTAAAGAGCACTAGCTTTGCCCACTATTGATGATGCCGTAGCCTTTGAAGTGGAGGAAGATGAACACATGGGATAGGGATCGAGAAATCCAGAATAGAATGTCAATATTTGAAGATCTAATTAAAGAAGCTATCCGAGAGATTTTTTTTTTACCAAAATCTCTTTTCCTATCAATAAAAATTGAATGTAAAGAGGCTCTTCAAGTTATTCTAGAAAACAATCATGAATCTATTTTCGTATTTATATATCTTGTCAATTAGGGTTTAGGAATTATTTCCTTACTAAAAATAAATTAACTTTTAATGCTTGTCTAGGTACATAGCCAGCAGTGATTTTTTTTTTGTTTGAACAGAAAACAGAAGTTTTCATTAAACACTGGCTCCAGACAAGTCGGACACCAGAGCCATTACAAAGTCTAGGACCTGGCTTAAGTACACATGTGAATCAGGCTGCAAGTTACAAGCCCCATAAGCAGCTAAGCTGTCTGCTACCCTATTACACAATCTAGAGCACAAATCTAGAGCAGATAGAGACTATATATATACAATGCACAAAATTAGAAAACATAAATTCCCGTATCAGCTTAAACAAGCCCATTTGGGCTTCAGTCTATCTCCATCGATGTAAAAGCAGTCCCCAGAGCTGATGCATCTGCCTCCAAAATTTTTCTTGACATGAGCTGGATTGACCATTCTAACACTACCATGCAAATGGATTACATATGACGACCTTCGGGAGCAGCGCGAAGAAGAGATGTCCATGTTGTGCACTCTTGCCAACGTTGCATATGATAAGTTCAGGTAGAGCTTGCCTGATATAGGCGTGGACTATGGAGATATGGACCCTATGACCACTAAGAGCCTGTTTGGCAAGGCTTCTAGGGGCTCCGGCTCCTCCTAAACCAGCTACTTTAGCAGGGAGCCATTTTTCTCTCATAGTGAAATAAACTAGGAGCCCGAAGAAGCCACGTTTTCTAGCTCCTCATGAAGCCGGAGCTAGAGAGAGCCCTGCCAAAGAGGGCCTAACTTCAATTTTGTCGCCAGCTTGATCGATTGGTTGAGTTTGCGGTTCTTCCAAAGGTCCTACGGTCTAGCGTCTTGTGCCAAATCTTGACCGATAAGAAGTGCAAACACTTGGATATCCCTAATGCAATGGAAGCTTTTGATAAAATATCAAAAGAAGCGAATGCTCTAGCTAAAAAAGAACCAAACAGGGCCTAAAAAAATGTGGTATTCAAGCAAATCAAATATTGTCATTCTTAAATCTGCCTCCTGCGTTGCCACGGTACTTACTTTATTGCTTCTCATGTTTTGTTCTCTACTATATGTGTTTGATCCTTATGTTCACCCTGGTATTCTTAACGTAGCTTATATATATCAACTCCGGCCAATGATGCAGATATTGGCCGTTTTGTGCATCGTGCCAATTTCAGACGTATAGGAAATGTGAGCAAACAATGCATTGGCTTGGACATTTGGACCGACAAAAATCACCAAACATCCTCTTAAAGTTTTGCTCCCTCAGCCGTTAACCCCAAACACTAATCCTCATTACTCATCGCTTATTCAAGTTATGACAAGAGATGATCTAAGAACACGAAAACTGCATACAGTTTGGGCCACAAGCTAACCATAATTTCTTGTTTCACCTTTCCTACTAGATCATGCAGGACAAAACATATTACCACCTTTGCTGGATTCAGTCAAGAAAGCCAGTCTGCCGGAGCACGGCGTCGCGCACGCGGCGGAGGTCGCGTCCCTTGAGCGTGCGGCCGACGCCCTCCAGCATCGAGGACGGTTTCCCTGGCGAACCGTAGCCGTCACCCGCGGACGCGCGCGCCACCATCTCGTGCGGGGGTAGCATGGCGGCGTCCCCATGAAAGAGCTCCTCATCGTCGTCGTCCCCGTCGCCAGGACCGCCGGCGAGTTTGTCCCATTTGCGCCCGCGACTCCAGGGTGGAGGGACGGGAACCAGGACGGGAGCCGACTGGTGGTACGGCGCCGCTGGCGGCAGCTCAGGGTCCCTTGGCCTCGGTGCCACCGGGATGGCACGCGAGGCGGACGTAGGGGACGTAACTGAGGAAGATGACGACGCGGCTGCGGCCCCTGCGATGGTCGCCTTGCGGCGGAGCAACGCCCCGGAGGTTCCAGCCGTGGCCGTGGACGCGGCCACAGCAGCAGCAGCTCCGCCGCGCCCACGTACCTTCCTGTCGCCTTCGTGGAGCGCGGCGAGAAGGCCGAGGTGGCCGCCCTGGACGCGGCCCGGATTCTTGGAGGCGTCGGGCGGCGGGTCCGAGGAGGAGGAGGGCGGCGTGGGGAAGAGGAGGTCGCCCTCGAGGAGCTCGTCCCCGGCGGAGGGCGAGGAAGCGGGGAGCGAGTGGGACGGGGAGGAGAAGAGGCCGAGGAAACGGTCGGCGGGCGGAGAGCGGCGGGGCCGGCCGGGAGAGTCCATTGGGGTGTCGTCAGTCGTCACTCGTCAGGCAAGGGCCGGCGGGGTCAGGAAGTGGGGGCGGAGTCAAAACGGCCGCCGAACCCACGTACTCTGTCCGAAGTGATTCTCGCTTTCCCGCAAGTCAGTTTTTTCTAATTTTGATTCATTATATATACAAATATTAATATTTATAATATATAATTAGTATTATTAATAAAAATTTATTTAAAGATATAAATATTATACGTATTTTTTTATAAATCTAATTAAAATTAGAAAAATCGGACCTGCACACCATTTTGAGACGGGGATTTCTCCTGTAGAGCTGTGAAATGGAAACCAAACAAAACTACCCACACCCGCAGTTGAAAATTACACGCAAATGCCACCCCTCTGCCCCTATCGCGCTCGCGCCGCACGCTCTCGTTCCTGCAAACCCTAGGGAACCGCCGGTGGAGCCGGCTCGTCGGACCGGAACGGCGAATCGGGTCGCATCAAAACCGCCTAGTCACCCCTCCTCCCCCACCGGAAGTCGCTGCGCATCCGTCGCAGGTCGCCGGGGCCGTGGACGCCGGGCCGCCGTCGCAGGGCAGCAGCCGAAGGGAAGACGCTGTCTCCTAGCCGCTGTCGCAGGGAGATACCATCTCGGGGCCCCTACTGCAGGGGCAACTTGTCGCCCAGCCGCGGGCGCTCAGATTCATCATGGCACCCACGGAGGTGAGGTCGACCACCTAAATTTGAACGGCCCAGATTTTTTTTAATGAAATCGCATTATCTTTGCCGTGAGTTCGTCAGATAGATACTGTAGTTTTCGTGATGAGTTGAGCAAGAACAGTCTGTACCTACATTCATTGTGAACCATACGATGGTTGTATTTTAGTTTTGCATTTTCTTTTCGACCACTCAGGCTCTATTTTGGACTTTTAGGATGCCTTTTTACCATAGAAAAACCATGAGTCTGACTATAGTGCGGTCTGCCTTATTGTGAGCTACAGTGCCGGACTCAATTTTGCTGATTTGCCAATATCAGCAACAGCCTGCAGTTCCTGGTGTTTAACTAACACCTATTGCTATGGAAATCAATTTGTGCTTTGAAGTGCAACTAAATTGATTTTATTAGTTCTTGTACAGTCAGTACAGAAATGTATGTGTACTTCATGCACAGATATGAATGTGTATATCAGTGTTAAATTATTTATTTTTCATTCCTCTGTTAGAACTCAATTGATGTGGCAATCTGAGGATTATTTGTATGTTGTCATTTACCTGTCTGTTTCTTTGTAGTACTCTTTCAATATGTTCTGTGAGATTTTAAGAGGTTTTCCGCCTATCCTTCTATTTACCGCAGACTTATGCAAGGGATGACGATGCAAAACTTGAGACCACACGCGCAAGGCGTAAGAACTTTTTTTTTCCTGTCCCAACGAACGTTATTTTGTGTCGTGATGAAGGGGACTTTCTACCCCTCACATGCTTAATAATTCTATAGGAATGCCATAAATCATGCAAAAGGTGCTGCCTTAACTCATTTTTTTTATCATTTTGTTTTGCAGTGTCAAACATCCTCAAAAGGCATGAAGATCTGAAAGAGCGCCTTTCACGGTACTCCTTTAACTTTGCAAAAGCTTCCCATGGATGCAGACCAGCTCACTGTTTAAGATAATTATTGTTTAGGTACTTTGGCATGTAACAATTTACGATAGTGGAATTCTTGTTACTCTTCAAATTGAGAACTAATTTGCAAACTGTGAGCTACTTGTTAAGCTCTTCTGTTCCCATTTCATCTATCCTTTGTTCCTTCACTGTTAACAGTCAATGCAAACCTGAATCCAACTGTATTTTTCTATATCTGTTCCTAACTGCGTACCTCTTGCGATGGTGCTCAATTGAAACAGGAAAAGTAATAAAAAATGAATTATAGTGGTTGGTAGAACCATCTGTATTAAATTTATGTAAATGGATTTGGCATCTTTCTTCGGATTATAGGGTTGTCTTCTGTACTGAAGTGTGTTATTGGCTCATTTCAAGAAGTTCGTGATCCAAAATCTTCGTATAAAAAAGAACACTACTGTAGTTATGTTATATAAATAAGCCTGGTTTGATTTATAATGCTGCTATGCTAATGCTATTGTATGTTGGTAATTGTTTTTCCTTGGTTAATGCTTCTAACATTATTGGCATTTAGCCCAAGGAATGTGATTTTCTGCAGAAAGCTCCCACTACTTCCTGTTTGATATTTGAACATGTCACGTGGCAGGTGTTTTGAGAAAAAGTTTCGGTTGAGCTATATTTCTTTAATCCATATAGATTCTTTGCTTCTACTACTAGAATAGAGTCTAAATTCTTTGTCCTGTCAGACGAGTACTAGTGTGCGCTACTCTTAACTCAAAACGCATACCCTCTAAACTCTGACGTTTGGAGGATATTTATATTAATGTACATCTAGCAATATTCTGGACAATCTTCTGAAAGTTGGCTGTGGGTAGTTTTTACTGGATATATTTTTTCCTTCATCTTGTTTCCTTTGCTGCTTGTTTTTATACTCACTGCTCATGCTCTGAGCAATTTCATGCTTTGTAAAACTACTATTCTACTTCATAAGTTTTTTTTTTTACTTTAGGGATTCTGATAAGCTGATTTTTGAGCGCCTACAGAAAGAATTTGAGGCTGCACGTGCTGCTCAAACCGAAGGTATACATTGGAATGGATCTTTGTTACCTAGTTATATAAGTAAGCTTGTCAATTCGTATATGTTATTATTTATATATATGCACAGAGATATGGATGTAGGGCATGGGTGAACTAGTAATAATACTCTTCCTCATATTTAATGGTCTCCTCGAACTTATGGCAAGACCAAGCTATTAACTATGCTTCGTATTGTTTCCAAAACAAATTGGTTAATTTAGTTCTGAGAGTAAGTGTTAAATAGATGAATTACCTGCTAACCTACACAAATTCTGGACAATTTGGGGAAAGACATCTGTCAATCGTGTGTTGAATATCTGTTTAGTTATAACCTCCGGCACGTGTTTCAAGTTTGAACTCTCATGTGCTGACACTGCAATTGAATCTTAAGTCTTTTCTTGTTTGGCTAATTAAGTTCTGACAGTGCATCCCTTTGGTGCTGATCAGTTTTTAACTTTTATCAGTCAACAGAACAGACTGATAGAAAATTTTTACTGTGCACTACATATGATATCATTTTGAATGTTTCTGGGTTTGGGAGGCACGTTGCCACTGTTCTGAATTAACTATTTGAGAGTTGTTTACTACAACTGAAGTGGTGCAGGCTGTTGGATGAACAGAATCATCTTTCTGTTATAAATGGAAAGCATGATCTGTTGAACAAACTGTGTCAATGTGCTCCAATTGATAACTTTCTTTAGATGGTTTGGATCCTTCAGTTAGCCAGATTTGATCTGTAGATCATAGGTACAGACTACAGAGATCAAGAACTATAACATAAATTCTCTATGTAGGAATACAAAATTGTGTTTTCCATCCTTTCATAAAGCTAAAAGGTATTTGAAGTAGTGCCTGAATATAACATTGCAAGCAAGTGTTACAACTCTTCAAGTTAATTCTGAACATAATTTTGTTGGTTAGGTGTAGCTGTGTTTCTGGGTGTAAGGAAGTGTTAGCAACACATTATGGTGGACAGGGCCAGGGTATATTTGTCATGTTTGTCGCAGATTTCAGTTTAGTCTGAACTCTGGTGGAATGACCTCTACACAGATTCAATGTATCAAAAGATATTACTACCAAAAGGTAGCTCAGTAGGATAAGTCGATAATATATGTCGTTTGTTTCTTGAAGTTTCTTGTAATCTCTGAAGAGGTGGAATAATCTTGTACTTGGTTTTGACTATATGTAGCATTTAACGTTCTAATGCCAGCATCACAAAATTGTTGTGCTGTGAATCATATTGTTCTCTTGGAGAATTGTCGACACATTCTTTTGGCATTCTGTAGAGATTTCATTAGATGATGATGAGTGGAATGATGGTTTACTGGCAACCATCCGTGAGAAGGTATTTAATGTGTGTTCAGCACCTTTAATTTTCTTGTTACATGAGACATACTATTTGTTCTGTGAATTATGAGTTTTTGTTAAGTTTGCTCTGTTTCGTAGACCAGGTCCATATGGAGGCTGATAGGAAGGCCATGGCCAACCAAGTAAATGTTCCAGCAGATCTTCCATTTCAATCAAGGACTACATATAGGATTAGAAATAAGGTAGCATTTGCTCCCCAGATCATTGCCTTTTCTAATATAGTTTTGTATCTGGTTAGCATGTATGCTGAGGTTGGTGCTGCTTTGGTAGGATTTTTTTTTCTCCTTGTTGATTTGCCTGGTTAACCTTTATTTCCTCTTGCACTAATTGTTCCTTTTGACTTTGGTGTTGACTGATATGTGGATTAGTTAGGATTAGGTTGTAGTGGCATATCATATGATTCCTTGTCATCACAATATAGTATATATACTAACCAGTAACCATTGCTTGTGTTGGCTGGTGTGGAAAGTGGTGATTCATGAGCTGAAATTTTGTTTTTGTATCTAGAACTTGCGGAACTTTCAGCTTCCTTACACCAGCTCAAATATGGTTATGATGCCCTTATGAATTATCATAAATGCATTGTTTTGGGGCACCATCATGCTATTATTGTTTTCCAGAATGAGTCTCGTCATTGGTAGAGACTATCCATGCTAGATTTAGTTTTTCTTAATCTGTCAATTAAAGTAAATATCTTCTCTTTAATAGGTTATCTATTGCTTGGATGGAGCGAGGATTGGCATACAGTACGAGACATTCTTTGCTGGTGATTACCTATAATTTTTTTTTTGTTTCATTTTCACACAAATATTTGGTTTTTCTCCTATTCGAAACTTTATTCCTGTTGTACATAGCAGTTTGGAAACCCCATACAAATAGTTTACTATAAACAATAACATAATCTTTTGCACTATGCAGACCTATGGTATTGTGAATAATAATTGATAGTACAAGCTAAGTGCGGTAGTTTAGCTTTAAAAGGATGAAAAGACATGATATGATACGCCCAAATCTCTAAACACGTGATTTTCTGTAGTATATAAACACAGTCATTCTATTTTGCAGGAGAGCCTTGTGAAATTTTTCATTGTGTTTTGGAAAGCAAGTCATTCCTGGAAAAGATGATTGTGGTTGAACACACCTTACCTTTCTTTCTGCCCATACGTGAATTAGAAAGTGATCTCTTGTCATCTAATTCCATTGTAAGTTTTCGCACAGCTCTGCTATTACCATATGAATTAAATACAAAGTTCCATATGCTAACATAGTTGTTTTTCCTTGTAGAAATTCATTGATCATCTTGAAGAAATTTTACAGGCTTATATTGACAGGAGAGAGCAGGTCAGTATCAGCGAGTAGGAGTCACTACACAACTTATCTGTGTTTTTATAATTCAAATTACCTTATCTTCTATTATGTAATGCTAGAAATTAGTTTAACATAATTATTGTTCACCTCTGCTACAGCACTTGACTTGCAGTTATCTTGTTTTTAAACGTTGGTCTAGTTTAGGTGAGACATAATGAATCTGATCTGATGGTCTCCATGTTGCTCAACTGAGTTTGAAGATTTAAGATGTTTCTGTATATTCCTCCAATTTATCATTTAGAAGATGGTCAATAGTGGCTTTTACTAATTATATAGCCAAACATAGCCATGATGTTTCATATTGTTATTTTCAGAAGTTAGGTTTGTAACAAGTGAAAAGGTTTATAATCACGAAACCAAACCATCAAAGATGTCATCACAGATGATCAATTAACTTTTTGTTGCAAAGATCTCTAGTTAGGTGTATTCATCCCAATCTAAAATGCTTGAGACAACTCTAGTTCTAGCACTTGTTCATTTGTCTTTGCCTAAGGTGAACCCTCTAGTCTAATGTCTTGCTGCAAACTCTCAGTCAGCCAGAGCAGCGCATGGCAGGAGCTGTGCACATTGCAGTTATCATTTTCAGAAAAGGAGTTACAATATGATCTCTCTTTTCTCCATAGTTGGGAGCATTTTATGTATATTAGGACTTTTTTTTTTCTTTTTTGCTGTTTCTGTTTTGCATATATGTGCATTTAGTAACTTTATGACATGTCTTAAATTTTGCTCATATATGACCTCATCTAGAAACTGACCAATCTGTGCTACTGGTTGACTTTGGTTCTGCTCCAGTCTGATATTGAAACCCTGAGTATTAGAAAATAATTGATATGAGAATATGCGCCATGACATTGCCTTCTAGCTTCTACCATTTGGCCAATCAACTGTTGAGGCATTTATAGCTGTAAAGATTGTAGCTGGAGACAGATGGGCCATACAGCCTTTGACAGTAGATTGCTAATTTCTATTTCATGTTCAAGGTTCGTCTTATCAAGGAGCTCTACGGGAACCAAATTGGCGAGCTGTTCCATAGTCTTCCTTACAATATGATAGAGTTTGTATTGGAAGATTTTGAGTGGTAAGGATAATATTTAATTACTGCTAATGCTAGGATCTGCATCAATAAGTTCTGTTATGTTGCTTGTACACTCACTCGTCGAATATGTACACCTAGTGCAGCCATTTATTTATTTTTTGTTATCTTGCAGCATGCATGTTTATTGCATACTGATTATAAGTTGCTATATGCGTAAGTGGCATGTTGCACATTTTGTAGAGAATGATCTGTTTGCCACTTATAAGCAGCAAGGTTACAATCAGTATCCGATATTCGGATCTACTGCAGACCCTGCCGAGTCAAGCAAGGGTCTTGGCTTGGCCACTTCGCTCGGCCAAGAGAATATCCACAAGAAGCAGCAGTGCTCAAGCCGCGCAACCAGTACCTTTTCACCTTTCATACGCCGAGGAAGCACTCAAGACCTTGTGTCTACCAGAAGGTTGCTTCCTGTCAGCTTGCCTTACAGCATACATAGCTTTGTGCTGAACTCTGTTCTGATTTATTTCCCCCCTCCCTATTCTGTGTTTCAGCATACGCAGACATTGTGCTGGAGCTACCCCATGCTCTGAAGAGGATTTTCTCCTCTCGGGACAGTGACTGAATCGTGACCTCAAGGTCTGTGTAAGATTCACATCTCAATCGCGGGACAGGTGTTTGAAGATATATTGTTCAGAATCTTGTGGTAGTATAACCTGCAGTTGTGGACTACAATTCCTGTGAGAGCAAGGCATGCACATTTGCTCCGTTGACCGCTCGAAATATTCCAGCTACAATACTGTTAAAAATAAATCAACGTCCTGTTTGTTTGGGCTGGTTTGGCTTATAATCCATGGCTAGAAGTACTGTTGGTTGGTTTAGTGTGAGAGAAAAATACTGTTCGTTGGCTGATAAGCCATGGTTTATAAGCTAAGTACGACCAAGCGAAAAGGCATAATCGTGCCGACTGCTGTCCCTGTCCTTGATGCGTGCTCTTTTTTCTCTCTCTTTGTGAGAGGATGATGCGGTCAATCATAGCTGTCCCAGGCAGACGAGGCTGTCCTGTTTGAAGATGATGATTCAAAAATCGAGTAATGCAAGATGGACATGCAGGGATGCAAAGTATTTTTAGAATTTAGAAAAAATACGTTTTGTAAATATTTTGGTTTTGGAGCACCATGAAGTGTTTGGATGTAATAAAATTTATGGTTTTAAAAATTATAGTAACCGGATGTTATCCCAATCAAGGTGTGGAGATGCCTGGGGACATAACTATAGTATGGCTAACCAAGCTGTTCAACCATATTTTTCGATTCAACAAGATGTCTGACGAGTGGAGGAGAAGTATATTGGTATCGATCTAGAAGAATAAATAGGATATTCAAAGTTGTACTAATTACTGGAGAATTAAGTTGATGAGTCATACTATGAAGCTATGGAAGAGAGTTATCGAGCATCGCTTGAGAGCAATAACGTGGGTCTTTATGAACCAATTTGGTTTTATGCTCGGAAGGTTAACCATAGAAGCAATTTTCTTAATAAGACAAGTTATGGAGCGGTATAGGGAGAAAAATAAGGACCTATACATGATTTTTATTGATTTGGAGAAGGCTTATGATAAAATACTAAGGAATGTTATGTGGTGGGCTTTGGACAAACATAAAGTCTCAATGAAGTACGTCGGGCTTATTAAGGACATGTACAACAATGTTGTGACTAGTGTTCGAACAAGTGATGGAGACACGGATGATTTCTCGATTAGGATAGGACTACATCAAGGATCAGTTTTAAGTCCTTATCTGTGTTGCCTTAGTGATGGATAAGGTTATAAGGAGATATAAGGAGGTGTATGCTTTTTGCGGACGATGTAGTGCTAGTTGATGAAAGCCGGACATGAGTGAATCAGAAATTAGAGTTGTGGTGGGAGACTTTGGAGTTCAAAGGTTTTAGACTCAGTAGAACTAAACTGAGTATATGATATGTGACTTTAGCACTACTACTCGGGAGGAGAAAGATGTTAGTTTGGAAGGTCAAGTAGTGTTTAGGAAAGATACTTTTCGATATTTAGGATCAATGCTACAGAGAGACGGGGATATTGATGAAGATGTTAGCTATAGAATCAAAGGGATAGATGAAGTTGCGCCAAACATCTGGTGTCCTATGTGACAAAAGGGTACCATAGAAATTAAAAGGCAAGTTTTATAGGACGACGATTAGACCTGCTATGTTGTATGGTGTAGAATGTTGGCCTAAAAAAGACAACATGTTCAACAGATAAGTGTCGCGAAAATGCGTATGTTGCGTTGGATTTGCGGTCATACAAGAAGGGATCAAGTTCGGAACGATGATATATGTGATAGATAAGGGGTAGCACCAACTGAAGAAAAGTCTGTCCAACACCGGTTGAGATGGTTTGGACATGTCCAACGAAGACCTTCAGAGGCACCGATGCGTAGTGGAATCCTAAGTCAGGATAGTAACGTGAAGAGAGGTAGAGGAAGATCAAAGGCTTCGTTCGGTTGGCTGGCTGGGCTCAGCCTGGCTGGCCAACTCACTCACAGAAACACTGTTCATGTCTAGACATAATATTATTTTTCTCTCAAAACAATCAGCCAGAACATTATTTTGGCTTATTTTTCAGTCCTGCCGAACAGCCCCAAAGTTGACTTGGGTAGAGACAATAAAAAGAGATTTGAAAGGATGAAATATACTTAAAGACTTAGCCTTAGATAGGAGTACTTAGAAACAGCTATTCACGTGCCTGAACCTTGATTGCTTCTGCTGGGTTTCAACTCTAGCCTACCAACTTATTTGGGACTTAAAAGCTTTGTTGTTGTTGTAAAAATTATAGTATCACTAAAACTGTGGTCTTTCGGAGTTACTCAACTCTAGACTTCGTTTTTTCTAAACTATAGTTTTGCACATCTATAAATACCAAAATTGTAGTTTCTTAATACCACCTATAATACTATAGTGTGCAAACAGGGACGAAATCAGAACTCCGTATGCATCCATCCACCTCTCCCCTCCCTAAGACTGTCTCCAACGGAAAAACGCAAACACGAGACCTATTCCAAGCATTTGGGTCACGTACAGGCAAAGGGTCACGCACCCAAATCCTCCCTTCTCCAACAGCGACCCCAAAAGAAGCCCAGTTTCCTCCATCTTCGTCTTCCCTGCGTCCGAGCTCCGACGCGAGATCCGGCGAGAAAATCAAATAAAAGATTTGAGCAAGCAGTGAGCAGCGAGCAAGGGCAGATCCGCGAGTCATGGTACCTTTGGATGACGAGATCAACGAGCTCCTAGATGGCGGCACGTAGAGGTGCCTCACGGCGGCGTCAACGGCGACCTTGTCGTCCTCCCCTGCGGCAGTGTAGACCTCGGTGAACCGGCGCACGGCGCGGTGCCTGAGCTCGCGCGCGTCGGCCTTGGAAGCGGCGGCCGTCCCAGATCCGGTGGTCGAGGCGGAAGAGGGCTTCCACGCGACGCCGCGCTCCCAGATCCGGTGGAGGCGGCGGCGCTGCTGGTCCTCGAGCGCCCAGACCGCGTCCCAGCTCGTGGACGAGGTGGAGGGCTCGGGGGAGGGGGCCGGGGAGGACCAGGCGAGGAGCGGTAGCGGCGGAGCGGGGGCTGGGGACGGTGTCGCCGCTTCGGGAGGGAAGGGAGAGAAATGGAGGGAAGGTAGAGAGAGGGAGGAGCGGAGGCAGGAGAGCGGACGGCTCGAGGATTTGCGTCGTCTCTTCGTCGAGACGCTTTTTTGCGTTTCGGAACCGATCGAATGCAAAATGCGTCGTCGGTTTGGGTTATGTGTTAGAGTATGTTTTTCCTACCTAAAACACTGTGCGTGACCTATTTTTAGGTTTGGGTAACTTCGTTGGAGTCAGTCTAAGGATTCCAGTCCGATGCGTAAAAGTGGCTGTGGTTGTGCTATCATCCTAGTTCTGTCATTTTTTAGTGTAATTTCCATATAATGGTTGGACCTGAGAATAAGAAAAAACCAATAGTGAGCATGTGCATTGTAAAACTTTGCTTTTGCAGTTTGCTAGAGAATAAATACTTTGCTTTTTATGGCCCTACTCGCTTGAACTTATTAGCCTGACTTATAAATCAGTCAACGATATTTTTTTAGCCTAGCATTTTAGCGAAGCGAAGAGGACAAGTGGGCATGTGCATTGGAATCGTCATTCCAAAGTGGCGTGTCATTCTAAATGTTAGCAGTTTTCTTCCATCCTACAGAAATAAACGACATCTTCATATATAGGTTTTGGCATGTGTGTTTGGAAAAAAAGAACAGAGTAACTAATGTCTCACCTTATAATAAGTGTTCTATTTGCATTGTATCTTAGCTCACCTTTTATAATAAGTGTTCAATTTGTATTATCTCTTAGCGGTTATGCAATACGATTTTTTTGACTTGTTTATGTTAATGTCCACGTGGGTTTCACTTGAATCATCTTGAGCTTTGGATTAGTGCGGGGGTATAACTCCGGATACCCACAGGGCTGCATATGGACCGAACCGCTAGGAGAGACCCAGCCCACAAGACTACGTCATTGTCGATGCGGGACCCATAGGGTTCCGCACGGAGAAGTGAGAAGAAAACCTAGTCCAAATAGGATTCTCTACATGTAATCCTACTAGGACTAGTTACACATAATTCTACTAGGATCTCTACTTTGTAACCGACTAGGACTCCCGCCTCTCCTGGACTATATAAAGGAGGGCATGGGTCCCTAGATTGAGACCTACACGTAACCGACAAAACTCACAACCACAACATACCTCGCAACACAACAAATAGCGCAGGGCGTAATATACTATCCACACCAGACTGGACGTAGGGCGCCGTGACTTTCTGGCGTGCCAAACCAGTATAAATCATTGTCTCCCTGCGTTTACCATCGAGTTCCTGCATACGTCGATACCCCTTCGAACAAATCACCGCCCCGGGTACTCCCGTGGCGGGTTGCCGGTGGTAAAACATCGATAGCTGGCGCACCAGGTAGGGGTTCATGGCGCTTTGTGTTCGAGAGCTCGGTGGACCTTAAGATCAAGATTTGTCGCGGTTCTCATCGGCCTCGTCGACAACTCACAGCGGTTTTCGTCGACAACTCGCCACAACTCTCGTCGACATGGACGATAACATCCGCACGGGATCCCAACTCCAGCAGCCAGTCAACAAGCACTACCACTGAAGACTACAAGCGATCAAGCAACATGCAAGTCAGAGCTTTCCCCTAGAACAAGTCAATCAGCCACCGCAATTCATCTGAGTCCAATACATCTCAAAGCCAAAGAAGGATCGGTCAGCATCAACTATGGCAAGAAGTCATGGTGATGTCTACTCGAATTCGGATACTAATTCTACTCTTATACGACAAGTACATGAAAAATTTCACCAGTCCAATCAAACGGAGGAGCACGACAAGGATGAGGAAGCAAGCAAGGCCAACATATATGTGTATATACTCATACACAAGAGACAAGATCAAGTAGTCACGATGATGACTCAGACTCTTAAATTCAGACCCCATGTTAGTTTACGACATCCAGCCACATCAATATCCAAAGTTTGATCCAGAAGCACCATGTCCGATTGCACCGAGCAAACTAGCAAGTAAGCCG